GTGTGTGTGTGTGTGTGTGTGTGTGTGTGTGTGTGTGTGTGTGTGAGCTTGGACACTGTCTCCCATTCACTGGGGTGCAGCATCCTTGGGGACAAAGGCTACTATAACCTGGCCTGAGGTCTGTGCCCAGCACCCAAGCAGAGAGGGGACTTCAGGGGCTGGTGTCCAGGGACAGGCCAGGCTATCTCCTGTTAGCCCATTGAGCTCCCCATGTCTTCCCTGGGGTACCCCTGCATCCTTCCTGGGGTCTGATCTCTTCCCTGGTACCTCCACATCCTTCTTGGGGTCCCAATCTCTTCCCTGAGGCCCCTTACTTCCCTCCCTGGCCCTCCAAATTCCTTGCCCCCTTATCCTCTCTGAGACCCAATGTCCTCTCTGGACCCCTGTGCCCCCCACATCCTTCCTGGTCCCCCACATTTTCCCTGGTCCCCTGGTGTTCACCCAGCCCCCAGCTTGAGTGACCATGGTCTCATTCTTGCTGGGAGGGCTCTTGGGGCGAAGGGCCCTGTCTTTCATGTCCCTGGGGGTCTGAATCCCAATCTCTCAAAGTCCCTAGGGGCCTGTCTCTCTGGGAGGCCCCTGCCCCGCAGGGCCCCGGGGCCGCACTCACTGTAGAGCTCCATCAACACCATGTCCTCCCCGTCGCGCCAGTTGTGGGTGCAGAGAAGCAGGAAGTTCTTGGGGTCAGCTTCCTCCAGGTAGACCACGTTGTCGCCCTCATCTGTGGACCGAGCGCACCCATGGTCCCGGACAGGCCGGTGGCAGGTCCTCTAGGACGTGCACAGCCTCCTGCCACACCAGGCTCCTGTCAGCTCCACCCCCTGCCCTCGAGGACCAGCCACCTGGGGCCTGTCCTGCTGCTGGTCCCCGAGGCTGGCCGGTAGTGATACTCACAGTCCACCTTGTACTGGAAGGGCTGCTCGGTCCTGTGCGCTATCATCTTGAGGGGTGTGCACACACCGTTCTCCCTGGGGGATGCGTGGACCCGGAAGCATGTGGTGGAGACTTCTCAGACCCTCCAGGGCTCACCCTCGTGTCTACATGGGGGTTTCGAAGCCCACCCTCTGGCCTCTGGAACCCGGAAGAGGAGGAGGGGCCCAAGGGGCCCCAGGCAGTGAGGAAGTTGGTCCTCGGCCGGCTAAGGGCCCCACTGGCCCTTCTGCGGGACTTACTTCTTGTGCAGGTGGAACTGCAGGTGACTGCTGTTCACCTGGATGGTGTGGATGAAGACCCTCATGTCCCCATTTGGCTGGATCCGAGCCGGCACGCTGGAGGCCAAGGCCACCGAGAACCACTTGCCTGCAATCTACAGAGGGAGTCATGGGAGGTGCAGCCAGGGCTGGGGCTGCCCGCTGCACCCCCCACCTGCTAGCCTCTCCCACTCGGTGCCCATAGCTGCTCACCAGCTTCTCATCCTCGGTGGGGATTTCAGGGCCTTTGTGCTCAAAGTGGGGGTCCACAGACAGGACTTGGGACACGCTGAGCAGGCTCAGTCCCACGGTCAGCAGCAGGAAGGCCATGGCGAGGTGCTGCTCGAGAGCAGACAGTGCCACAAGCAGGTGTCCCAGATGGTGGCTGGTGGCCCTTTTGTGTGCTGTCTGCCCCTCCCACTCCCCACAATGGCCTCTGTGTGTGAGGCTCGCCATGCCCACAGTGCCACTGGCCTGGACGCTCACACAGCTCCTCCAGGCAGTGAGAGCCTCTGAGGCTCTGGCTGCCCTCCAGGAGCAAGGTGTCCTGCAGCTGCGGATGCCAAGGATCACGCCTCACTGTGCCCTTGTGGTCTTCTTCCTGGTGCCCACGGCATGTGGGGGTGACGGGTTGGCACCCAGGACTCAGCAGGTGGCCTCGGGGAAGGTGAGGTCCCCCTGCCTGCCAAGCCTGTGATGGACCTTGAGTCTGGCCACACTGCTGGAGGGTTGTCAGGGTGGGCCTTCCTGGGGTGCTGCCTGTGTGAGTTTAGGGGTGTGTGTATGTGTGTGCGCGCAGGCATACAGGGGTGGGGCAGGTGGGCAGAACAAGGTAAGGCAGGTAGGTGGGGCTGTGAGGAGGAGCGAGGGAGCCGTGTGCCACATCTGATGCTGGGCCAGTCCAGAGCCACCTCCGTTGGCGACCTAGACCTAGTCCTGAATTCTGGGTTCCTTGGGCTTGGGGGAGATGGTGGGGACTGGCTGGGGGCACGGCCAGGGGGGCGGGGCTCTGATCCCAGTGCTGCATGACCTGCCTGTGTCCTTATGTCCAGGGACCTCACAGTTTCTATCTTGGCGATTGTCACGGTTGTCAGAGGGGCTGGGAACACTCACAGTCTCCTCTTCCTTCTTAAGCCCCGCAACTCACACACACACTGCTCCCCCTGCACTCACTCTATGACCTCCAGGGCCATCTGCCCTCCTCCCTTGCTGGACCATGGGCAGCCTGTGTCCCGGCTGACCCTCTGAGAATCCCTTCTCCCTGTGACTCCCAGGCTGCCACACTGCCCACCTCTCCTCCCCGGTTGATCCTCCCTCTGCCTGAAACCCCCATCCCCTACACGCTGGTCCTAGAGGTAGGGGAGTGCCCCAAGGGCAGCTGACCAGTCAAGCTGCACATGGCAGTGGCACAAACAGGGAGGGGCTGCCAGCTGTTATCCACAGGCCAAACCCCACCCACGGTCTGCTTTTATGAATAAAGTTTTATTAGAACACAGGCGTGTCGTGTCCGTGCGTGGATGTGTGGTCTCTGGCTGCAGGGCCGTGGGTGTGGCTGTGATGGCGCCGGCGTGTCACGTGACACTTGAGATGGTCCTTCCCAATCAGTGCTCGTCACCCCTGCGGCAGAGGGACCGCTCCGAGAACGGTCGGGAGGTGTCGCCATGGCCAATGGAGGAGGAAGTGGAATAATAAGCAGGATCCCAGAGGGAAGGGCTCTGTGCTGGACATCCTTTAGACAGCCACTTAGCACATTTCTCCACAGCCGTTGTGTGTCGATCTTATTAGCCCATCCTACCTAACGAAATTTTAATTTGCTTAGGGGGCATGGAGCTTATGTTAATGGCGCTGGGATAATTTGGAAAATTTATCAGTAGTAGTTGTATAACACAGAGTCTAACCCCTGGCGCTGAATTATCCATGTAGAAGTTGGTGAATTGTAGAATGATATGTTGGTTATATTTTTTGCCACAATTAAGAGAATACAAATTACATGAATAACAACGTGTAAGAAGAACATGTTCTAAATCGGTTGTAGTCATGTTGGTACAACTCTTTGATGGGATAGAATTGTTGAATTGTATGATATGTGGATGAAGTCCCAATAAAACTGTCTTTGAGAGAGAGAGAGAGAGAGAGAGACCCAGAGCAGGTGGGCTCTGTGAGAAACAGTGAAGAGGAGAAAGCCAGGCCCCAGGAGATCGGTGACCACACTCAATCCAAACGCACCATTCTCCCCAAGGGAAAGGAAGGTGTTGGCCGGACAGAACGCGGTCTGAGGCACACAGCAGGGTGCAGAGCTGCTGGGAGTAAAGACGTGGAAAGCGGCACAGGGCGCAGACGCCAGCCAAAGGCAGCTGGCGAGACGAGGGCATACTGTGACCCCTCGCCAAGAAAAGGCATCAGGAGGCAGAGTGAGTCGAGTCCCTATGCCTCCTGGGACAACAGCTGTCAGGTTCCAGGGGTCACACAGCCGAGGCTCAGCCAACAGAGCTGTCCTCACCCCCGCCTCAGGGGGGGCATCGGGTGACCCGTTGTGCTGTGAGCCACCAGGCTGGTGGTTCAACCCGCACAGGCGCTCTGCAGGAGATAACAGAGGCTGTTTGTACCAAGGAGCCTGGGAATCCACCGGAGAGGTTCTTCCTGGCCTGCAGGGTCACTCTGAGCGGGATTGGCTGGAGTGGCGAGCCTGGTTTGGGCGTTAGATCCCTCAGTCCTCATTAGAACAAGCAGGTAAAAATCCAACGATGTCACAGAATGTTTGAACCCTGTTGTTCATAGAACTGGCCCTGGTCACATCTAGAAGTTTACCCAACAACGCACAGGATACGCTTTTTGTCTGGTGTGGTGTGCTTTGCTTTATTTAAAAAAGGGCATGGTTTCCTTACAAAAGCAGCAACCACAGTCGAGCCATCCGTCATGTTTCGCTATATTTAAGAAGCTCGGAATCCGACAGAGGGTGTTCTCTGAGCATAACCCAATTGCACGAGAAACAGTCGTAATCATAAAATCTTGATCGCAGAGTCATTATAAAGTCCTAATGAGAGGTGAGGATGGCGAGACTTGGGCCTGCTGTCAAGAGAGACCGTCCTGCTTGGTGCAGCGAGGAGGGCCTTCCAGGAGAGGGAGGGACGGGGCTCAGGCCTGAGGCCAGTGGGGAGGCTGGCGGGGGACGGCGGCGTCTCCTTCTGCTGTGCTCGGAGCCCACTCCACGGCACTGGACAGCCACACGGCAGGCAGGAAGGATACTTGGAAATGACCCACTAGGAAAGGAAGCCTTCTCCTGGAGGTTAGAGCTGACTGAAGTCTGGGTCGGTGAGGGTGCAGGCATGCTTGACCCAGCACAGGAGCCACACTGGCTCATCAGCGGGTGACGTCACCACGTGAGGGGCACTGGCTGTGCACCACACAGGTGCTACAGCCGCCAGGGACACCAGGGGGGGTCTCAGAGATGGAAATAGGTAGGAAGCCCACCAGCCATACTAAGTGATAGAGGTCAGGTAGGGTTTAGCTTTGGGGAAGTGGGAGGGGGTGGATTTCCGCCCTGGAACCTCTACACTTACTGTTGTCAACCCCCTCATTGTGAATCGGGTGGAGGTTTACAACGCAGCCCAGTTTCCCACGCGACGACGCGTACGTGTTGTCCGCGGTCACTGGTGTCTTCCCCCCAGTGGGTCACCCCCCACGCCCTCCCTGTTTCCTGTTCCGCACTGCTTTCTTTCCCGACCTGCGGAGCCTCCGGGGGCTGCTGCCCTCCGGATTGCGGACAACCACGTGTCGGCGGGCTGAGTGCCCCCTAGTGCGACTGTTTGCCTTATAGACCTGCCTGGGCTTTGGCTGAAAACGGAGCGGGGGCGAGTTCTGCTGCTGCTTTGCAGGGCGCTCCACCTGCCGCCATCTGTGTGTCTGCCTGCATCGGTCCCGCTGGTCTCGGCCAGGGAGTCTGGTGCTGTCGGGTCCCTCAGCTCGATGGACGGATTAGTTCCGTGGGCTCTCATTTTCATCGCCCCCTTCCCTATGGACAGGGAGAGGTTAATAGCTGCCCCTGAGATGGCCGCTCAAGCGAGGCAACGAGGGGCAGGTTGGGTGAGGGGTGGGCACCGTGGCTGCGGAGTGTTGAGGCGGGGACAGCGCAGTGGCTGGCTCTCTCGCAGGGAGCCCGGCTGGTGTCCTTGTTGAGAGCCGGGCTGCCAGCGGGGTGTCCGGGGTTCAAGTCTCCCACCGCTCCCCATGAGAACACAGCCCGGAGCCCTGCACTGCCCTCTTGGACCGGGGTTGGGACGGACCGGAGATGGCAAGGGGTTTTACACGCACACCAGCTCTTTGCACGTGTGTGTGCAGAAAAAACCCGGATGAGGTAAAGGATGGCCCGGGGTGAGGGGGATGATAGCCGTTTCCCCCAACATTTCCTCGGGGCCCCTGCCCCTCACTCTGCTCTGGTCAGGGCATCAGTGGGCCTGCATGGTTTGGGGCACGGTGCCGAGGGATGTGGGTCCTTGTGGGACCACAGCTGGCCTGTGCTGACCCCAGGGAGGGTAGGTGTGAAGGTGTGTGTGAGTGTGTGCTGGTGTGTAGGTTTGTGAGGGTGTGCATGTGCAAGAGTGTGCAGGTGTGTGAGGGAGTGTATGTGTGAGTGTGTGCAGGTGTGAGATGTGAGTGTGTGCAGGCGTGTGCGGGTGTGTGTGTATGAGGGTGTGTGTGAGTGTGTGCAGGTGTGGGTGGGTGTGAGGGTATGTGTGCAGGTGTGTGTGAGAGTGTATGTGTGAGTGTGTGTTCATATGAGAGGATGGGTGTGTGCTTGTGTGCATGTGTGAGTGTGTGTGTGGGGCAGGTGAGGGTGGAGGCCTGGGTGTCTGTCCTGGAGGAAGCCTCACACCCCGTTTCCCGTGAGGAGCTGTGCGCTGACCCCCTGCCCGTGTGGCTTGGGGTACCCTCCTGGGGCAGCTCTGCAGGACCTGGCGACCTGCCCCCTCCAGCTATGGCCCTGCGGGGGGTGGGGGTGGGGGGTGGGCAGTAGTCAGCCCAGCAGGGTGGCACGGATGGCAGTGCTATGATGGTGGCGGTGTCGTGGTGGCTGTTGGTCAGACGGAAGACCAGGCTGTCCTTGGGCCGCTCCTGCCCCAGGTGGAGCTTGCAGTGGGCCGACTGGACAGCGGGGAGCGAGGCCATGACCAACCGTGATCTCCCCTGGCCGGCAGTCGGAGCTGCATCTTCACTGCACACTCGGTCGGCATCGGTGACTCTGGGAACTTGTTGGTTCCAATGATGTCCCCGCCCAGCATCCTGTCCTATCCTGTCCCTCAGCGACCATGCGCCAGCTATGGTCGGGGTGTCTGATGGGGTCACACTGAAAGGGCTCTTTCCCCTCCTGACAGGAGTGGGTTGGCAGGGATGGGCGGGAGGGACCCAACCCTCAGGGTGGCTAGCCAGGCCCTGTCCCTTCTCTGCCACTCTAAACATCCCGAGTGGCATTTCCTCCTAAAGCCCATTTCCAAAATCAACAGCCAGTTTTCAGTTGGGCCACATCCTGAGGGCTCTTGGAAGCCAGGCCCTTTAGGCGTGCCCGTGGCGTCTTCCACGTCCTTGGGTTGACGTGGTCTTGGACGGACAGTCGGAGGGGCTCTGTGGCCTTGGCCCCAAGGATCTCCCTGCCCAGCCTCTAGTGACCCAATCTCCGAGAACCTAGATCTGGTCCGAGCTGGTTGGATGGGTCCCGGCTGGCTCATCCCCAGCAGGCCTGGGCTGGGAATGTCCTCTCCTATGGACAGGACACTGGGAGTGAGGGAGAAGATCCCATGGTGACCACGGACCAGGATGCAGTCAGGTTCCAAGCCTACGACCTCAGCCATTCCTCTTGGATGCCCCGACATTGCTGTGAATTGGCATTTTGTCCTCTGACTCCTCTGGGAAGCACGTGCTATAGAAGCGTTTATCGGGGAGGCTGGTGGGGGGTGGGGGGTGAGGAAGTCCCAGGAAGGTGACCAGGAAGAGGAAACAGGATGGGTGGGGAGAGCCCAGGCCACGGTGTGGCTCTAATGGGGCAGGATGACTGACTGGGCTGAAGACTGTTAAAGGCCATCCAGCAGTGAAGTCTGTGTTAGACAGAAATGGGGAGACCCAGGCACCCTAACACAGAGGCCAGGCAGGGCTGACTGACGAGAAGGGCTGGGCCCAAAGCTGAGGTGGACATTGAAGACCCTGCGGCTGGAGGAGCCGCTCACCGCCAGTAAGGACCACCAAGAAGGATGCCACAGCCAGCACTGGACCGGAGCGGAAACCTACCGGCACCGAGGCCCCAGCTCTCCTTGGCTCTGCGTCTGGTGCTGCAGACAGAGGGGCCGTCCCGGGGGAGATAGCCTGTGAACCCTTTGAACTGTCTCATCAGATTCATCGAGGGCATGTCGCTAGGTGGCAAGGAGGCCCGAGGGAGGAAAACGATGGCACGCCGACTCTCCCCTTTGTTGAGGGAGCACCTACGGTGGACGTTGGATGACGGTCATTTACAGAACCTCATCAGGGAGCTGCCAGAACAAGGGATAGTGTAGCCGGTGTCAGGTGCATCTTAGCTAAAGGCAGAGACTATCAGAAAGGTATGGTTTACCAACTAATCAACACAAAGGCCTTCGACTGTGTGGACCATAATGAACTGTGGTGTGTTAGGCAGGGTTCTCTAGAGAGACAAACGGGACACTTATGATTATATATATATGTTTATACACCCAGAATAAATATAACAGCTAATTAGTCCACACAGCAGTACAGAGGGCTCAGTTCAACTCACTTCCATGGAACAGTCAATAATACTGGAAGTCCTCCAACTCACGTGGGCTGCTGGCCCAAGGTCAAGGAAGCAGACAGCTGAATCTTCCCTCGGGCAAGGCAAGCAGAGGCTGCCCACAGGCAGCCGGCAGCAGGGTGGTGACCAACAGTCAATAGCTCAGGAGCTTAGCAAAGCAGGGCCAGATGGGATATCGAACTCAAGCAATGCACGGTGACAGGATCCACCAGCCTCAAGCTCAAGTGATGGACACACCAGCAGCGTGGGGAAGCAGGTCTCAAAGGATCCTCAAGTTCTAGCAACATGGTCCACGGGTTGGCCTGGCGCACAGTGTAGCTCACAGG